TATATATATATATATATATATGTAAATATATATATATATATATATATATATATATATATATATATATATACACTTACTAAAGCGTGTTTTGATAAGCATTTGCTCACTTTTTTTGCTTACCTTAAGCTATACCATTTTTTTCGAAAAAGAAGAAGAAAAAACGAAGAATGGTGAATAAAACGATTGCTTCCCCATCCCAAACCCTTAGTCAATAAAGCAGCACTCCACTGTGAGTCAGGCTATTTGTCAGTCGATGTATGTTCTGAAGCTCCCAGCAGCAGGCTATTTCAGTATGACGCCAGATTGCTTACCTTAGTACGCAATACTGTTTGTGTGTATGTATATATATATATATATATATATATATATATATATATATATATATATATATATATATATATATATATATATATACATATATATATATATACACATATATATATATATATATATATATATATATATATATATATATATATATATATATATATATATATATATATATATATATATATACAAATAGTATTGCGTACTAAGGTATACTATTACAATAAGAAAATATAAAACTTTTTTTATAAGCAATAAAAACAATGCATTTAGAGAAACAAAGAATTTAGAGAAGCAGCTCGCATAGCTCGCCATGTTCGTTTTAGGAGAGCTTTTCACCGCTCTTGCACTCATTTCTTCCCGCTGAGGCCTATATATATATATACATATATATCTTATACTGCTGAGTTAGGTGAGCATGATGATGTCATACTCACCTAATGTCAAATAGCCTGCTGCCGGGGGCTTCAGTACATACATCGTCTGACAAATAGCCTGACTCGCCGTGGAGTGCTGCTACATCGACTGAGGGTTTGGTATAGGTCAGCAATATTTTCATTCATTATTCTTCGTTTTCCCTCATCGTTTTCTAAAAATGCTCACTTAATTTAGGCTAGCGAAAAAAGTGAGCAATTGCACATATAAATATGCTATAGTAGATATATGTATATATATATATATATATATATATATATATATATATATATATATATATATATATATATATATATATATATATATATATATATATATATATATATATATAAATTAGTAGAAAATCACTCAGCAAAAATCTTTTCTTATTTAACACTGTGTTTCATTAATAAAGACTCATCAGAAATCAATAAAGACTCATCAGGATTTCTGATGAGTCTTTATTGATGAAACAGAGTGTTAAATGAGAAAAAATTTTTGCTAAGTGATGTTCTACTAATTTGTAATTGCTCTGTTCTTTTATGAACATTGAGCACACTTTTTGTAGAATACATTTTAAATATATATATATATATATATATATATATATATATATATATATATATATACATATATATATATATATATATATATATATATATATATATATATATATATATATAAAGTTTCATGCAGGTAAAATACAAATATAGTTTTTTTGCTAATAAATTATATACAATTGGAACTAGTTACGTAAAACTATACAGAAAAAATCTATATGGAAAAAAGTATTGTTACAACTGCGTATCTAATCTTCAGGTTTGTGGTTGCTTAAAAGAAATTTATTTTCGTGACGACATTTGGAAATTAACTAATTTTTTAGTAGTAGCTCTTCAGCATTTTTATAAAGTAAAATTATTAGTTTTTCATATAAACAAAGTAAACATTTTTTTGTTGTACTGTTGTAAGCAGGAGCTTTTTTAAGGATAGAACAAGTTAATTCTGGTGTTTTTTTAAGGATAGAACAAGTTAATTCTGGTGTTTCTTTGAATTTTTCCCTAGTTTCTCATGTATATTTTGAGAAATCGGATGAATTTGAAATTTTTTTATTTGTAGATGATTGCTTGTGGTTTGCATATCTCTTTTTCCACACCCCTTCTAATAAACCAATGTATGCTTTACTGGGTGTGTTTGGGGAAGATGTAATACATTTGTAAATTATGTTTGTCGCTCTACAATATTTTTTCAGCAGGCAGATTTCTTTTTATTGGCAATTGCAAGGGAAATTTTCAGTTGTGTTTTTTGAAATTATTTTTTTGTTGTGACTTTTTATGACTTTTGAAATGTTGTTTAAGCAGCTGTAGCTAACTTTTGTGGCGTTTAATTTAAATAGTTTATGCAATGGGTTTAAAGGTGGGAAATGCTTATCTATTAATTGCAAAATGATTTGGCCAACATTGGTAGAGACGCTTTTATTGTAGAGTGGGTTAAATCAAATTATTTTCCTTTTTTTTTTTGGGGGGGGGGGGGGGAGGTCTTATCTTTTAAGTTGTACTTTAAGTTAAAGTTTTTAAAACTTAAGTTTTCAAGTTTTTTAAGTTTTGTTGAAGTGCTTTTACATATTCTGTTTTTGAGCCAGAAACTGTCGGAACTGTCTAAAGCCAATTTTATATAAAGTGTAACAAATTGATGTAAATGTGTAAATATATATTTAATGTAAATTAATAATATTATATCGTTTTCATTTAATGTAAAAATTCTTGTATCTTTTTTAGTTAGAAGATAAAGATCTGAAAGAAATTATAGTTTAAAAGAGTTTAAAGGTCATGCAAGGAACGATCATGTATAATATATGTATACTATAAGATAAGTTTTAAAAACTTTTTAACAATTATGTTTTTTTTTGCTTACACTGTTACTTACAAAACATTTTTTACCCTTTTTATACCACTTGTAATAATTCAACATTTTTTAAGTGGGTAGACTAAATAAGTGCAACTATATTGTATAGCAGCATTGCATAGAAATTTATAAAAGAAATATTTAAAAAACCACATAATCTTATCCACAACAACAAAAAAATGTGCAACCCTCGGAATTAGGAAAAATGAGGTTGGCACATTTGCCGACCTTAATCTTTTAGAAGTCGGCAAAAAAATTCAATACAAAGTCTTACCATAGAAACGGTATAGCTTAAGGTAAGCAAAAAAAGTGATCATAGAAACGAGGTCGGCAATTTTTTGACCTCAATCACTTAAAGATCGGCAGTTAGGTCAGCATTGCCAAATGCCGACCCTAATTCCGAGGGTTAAATGCGTTTATAAAAATTCCATTAAAAAATTACAATTAAATAGAAACTCATTATAAAGAGATGTAATATGCAAATGCAAAAAGCAATATGTATTATTCAAATGTTAGAAAACCACTTATTACGTTATGTACAAACATTTGTAGGTGTAAAAGTACTAATGATAGTAGGTAAGTTTGCAGATCATATATTTGTTGCAGATCATATGTTTGCAGATATTTAAATATTGTGTATGTACAATATAAAAAACAATTTTTGAACAATTACAAATCTTTTTTGTTTAAGCTGTTTTGTTTATAATTTTTGTATTTATGTTGTAGTTTAAAAAAAAAATTGACAAGATTAAAAAGCACACATTGCACCTAATCAATGAGCTACTAATGCTTTTGCTAAGATTAAGGGGTAAACAGATTCTATCTGTTGACCAGCTTCGCACCCCTTTCTTAATCTATTAGGCTGGCGCAGATATATTTATAATACATTGTTTCCAGTTTAGGATGTTGAATTCTGGATCTTCTTTATTCAATGCATGGGTTTTGCTCGTGTCTCTGTTTTTATGACTAGGCAACTCATTCTTTTATCTCCTAATGATTACAGCTCTAAAATTCAGTTTTATGGTTCTGAGGCCAGCCATTATCAGGTTTCCCAAACTATGTGGTAGCTCTCTGAGAGGCTGATTCCATCAACAGCTGTAAAATATTAAGTATTGATGAGAGATTAAGTGTAACAAACATTTGAACTCATCTTGAATCTAATAACTTACTTTCTGATCATTATTATGGATTACGCTCTTCTTGTTCTACTGCTGATTTGTAAATGATAATAACTGATAGTTTTTATCATGCATTAGATAGATTTGAACAGCTGTAGCGCAGTGATTAGTGTGCTTACCCCAGAAGCAAGAGATCCGTGGTTCAACGCCACCTCTGGGCAAGCTTTATAACATCGGTAAGGAAGGAGGCGTGAACTTCCTTCTAAATGCTCTTCCCTGGTGCTCTGTGATAAGACTGTAAGTACTTCTTGGGGTACCTAAAATGAAAATTAAAAAAAAAAAAATGTGGAGAGGCTAAGGCTATATAAGGCTCTTGACATTTCTAAAGCCTTTGATAAAATTTGACATGCTGGTCTTTTCCATAAGCTCTATTCTTACCATGAATCAAGTAACATCTTTAAGATTATTGAATCCTGCCTTACTAATCATTTTATAAAAGTTGTCCTTGTTGGACAGCACTCTTCTTCATATCCTGTAAATTTAGAGGTTCCTTAAGGTTATCCTTGATCCAATACTCTTTTTAATTTACATTAATGATCTCCTAGAAATTCTCACATCTAAGGTGACATTGTTCGCTGATGATACTACCATTTATTCTTGTCTTGATAAGAAGCCAACACTCTCTGATTGCTCGGACGAAGTATTTCAGCTTGAAAGGGATCTCAATTCTGCTACAGCATGGGGCTCTCAGTGGCTGGTGAATTTTTTTCAGCCAATCGTTATTGCAATAATTCCTTCCTATATTTATGAACGGTAGTGTACTTGATGAGTCATCTACCCTTCATCTTCTAGGATTGACTTTTGCTTCCAATCATTCTTGAAAACTATATATCAAATCGATTGCAAAATTAGCATCTGCTAAGGCTGCATCTCTTTATTGTGCGCGCCACTTCCTTACTTAGGATTGAAAGATTTTGAAATAAATTCTTTATTGAAAATTTATAATCATAGTTATTAATTTACCACTACACTTCCCCCTACCCTCTCCTCCGTTGATATTTCTGCTTGCTAAAATTTATGTTATAATTCAATAGTCCACTATGTTATTTTTGTTATTAATAAAAATCTAAAAATACTCAACAATTATCTAATATTAATCACAAACACTGACTGGAAATTTATATTCTAAATAAAAATATATACTACCATTTCAAAAAAACATTTTAAGTATATATATACCTGTTCTCTTTGTACAGTAACAATGTGCTTTGGTGAGTGAGAAGCTAAATTTAGTGCTTTATCAACGAGAGACTCATATCCAATTACTTTATTAGGTTCGATACCACATGAAGCTGTTACCATAACAATAGGCTTCAAAAAAATGGAAAAAAGAAATGAAAGAGATAAAAAAAAGATCTTAATGATTCTTTATAATTATCATAAAGATACTTTTTAGATAATGATCAATATACTTTTTAGATAATGATCAATATACTTTTTAGATAGCGATCAATATACTTTTTAGATAATGATCAAAATACTTTTTAGATAATGATCAATATACTTTTTAGATAATGATCAATATACTTTTTAGATAGTGATCAATATACTTTTTAGATAATGATCAATATACTTTTTAGATAATGATCAATATACTTTTTAGATAATGATCAATATACTTTTTAGATAATGATTAATATACTTTTTAGATAATGATTAAAATACTTTTCAATTTGTAACTTTTAATCAAAATTATTTTTGTGTTTTTTGATTTAGCTGAGCCAAATTATTTTCTATTTTAAAACTCATGTCAGATATGATGAATAGTGTCAGATATGATGTCTTTAGTAACTCTGCAAAAATAAGATTTTTTTTTGTCTGTAACAATTGATTAGACCATGTTACTACAGAGGCAGCCAGTCTTTTATTTGTTATAAATTATCTGTTATAAATCGACTTTTTATTATTGAGCTAATATTTTTCTGAAATAATATTCTTGAAAATCTTAGTCTGATGAATTTTCTTCCTCTCACAAGTAAAAATGTATCTGCATATTTTTCCAAGTTTTTATCACTTTATGCTGGTTGCACAGTGATAATAATAGTTCCCACTTAAAAAACTCAAAAAAACCGGGCAATCTTTTTTTGAAATATTTTATAATTTTACCATTACAACCAAAATTTCTGAAAACATATTATATTATAGTAGCTAGCTATCAAGGGAAAATATTTTTACAATATTTGCCCAATAATTTTTTTGAAAGCCAAATTAAAAGATTCATTTAATAAGATTTTATAGAACAAACTTTTGATCAAAATAATTACATTTTTGAAAAAACCAAGTATATATATTTGATATTGTTTATATAATTGCTTTTTTCCTTTTCACTACCTAATTTATTAACTTTTCACTAATTGTTGCTTTGCATATAGAAAAATTTTTATTTTTTATTTATTAAATCAACTTAATGATTTTTATTTCATTATTTTTTTTTAACACCTATAAAGTCTTATTTTGTAATAAAAACTTAAAAAAATACTTGATCTAAAATGACACCAAATATTTTGAGTTTGAAAACTGTTTCTCTAAATATTGCTTAATTTTTAATAATTTCTCTGATTTTGATAGATATATCATAATTATCTTCATAATTTCTACATAAACTGTTTGGGTTTTTTATGTATGTTTCTATACAACCAATTTGGCAATTTCTATTCAGCTAATTTGGGAGTTTCATCAGATATCATTTGGTAACTGCAGCATCTTGTCTCCTTTTTCATACAACCATCCCTTAAAAGTAAAACTTTAATAGTTAATATAAAATATTTATACATTTTTTATACTTGAAGTTAATTTTCCACAAATAAAATTTACATGTGGTCATGATGAGTTTCATAGTTTTAATTTGAATTTTTGCAAGGGCTGTTTACTTATTTTTCGTGAGAGGAAGCAAAAAAAATTCTATTCTAAACTTTGAACCTTACATAGCAAAGTATATATGCTGTCATTGAATCCATCATTGTTAAGGTTATAAGTACTTGCCTTGGCTGAAATTTTTCGAACTATTGATTCATCTGACAACGTTTCTTGAGGGATTGCTATTTAAGAGGTTTTTTCCTGTAGAATTTTTTTATTGATTGTCTTTTTTGTAAGCTTCTTCACCACATCTTGTTTTTTTTTTGCAGTTACAAGTATTTCTGTGGCTATTGTAGATCTACCCTTTGTTAATGATTAAGGAAATAAAAATTTAAGAAACTTTAATAGTTTTTCATAGGGAATTGTTATGTAGAAATCATTACAATAGCATCAAAGGAGACTTTGGACAGCTTCTAAAGTCTTCCCCAATTCGATGTATTAAAAAAATCAAGAGAATTGTTACAAACTCAAATATAGTTTATAAATGCTAACATTCCCAGGTAACCTGCATTCACAGGTAACCATTTGTTTTAAAAAATTACAAAACTAACTCTGGTAGAGTTCATAACTAGGATTTGAATAATTTACCTAGAATCAAAAATTTTACATCGAAAAACCAAAAAAACATTTTTTTACTTAAACTCTGTATTTTTGCAGAAAACTGTCACCTAACTATATCAAAGTTATGATATATATATATATATATATATATATATATATATATATATATATATATATATATATATATATATTCGTATAATAGAATTTTTGATGTCATAAAATTCTTTTTATTTGCTTTTCACATTTATTAACAATAACTTTTTTGAACTACCAAAATTTAATAAACTACTGCAAAACTAGTTTAATTGAAATTTTAATTAAAAAAAAAACTAGTTTAATTGAAAACTAATTTAATCAAAACAATAAAGAAATTTTATTATGTAATAATGTTTAAAATAAAAAAATATTTGGCTTCGATGTACAGCCCATAGACACAAGAAGTGAGTGTGTTTAGCTTTCTGTTTACTTAATTTGAAAGGGGACAAAAACATAAAGAGACCATACCAGACAACCAAATAGAACTTATTAATGCACTATACCATCACACCTGTAGAAATTAACAGTCTCTAATATCAGCAATCATAAATGAACAGTGTAATATAGCCAAAAAAAAATGTTAATGCCATTATAACCAATTAGAATAAAGTAGTGAATGAATGGTGATCCCCCTTCTTGGGATAAATTATTTATTAAAAATTATTTTAATTTTTAATTATTTTATTATTTAAATGTTATTATTCAAAAATTTTATTGAATGTTAACTAAGATTCTGGTTAAAATAAATTTGTTTACTTTCTCGCCATTTGACACAATCATCTTTTGTCTATAACTACACGAATAAAAAAGATTTTGTTTATTTCTTGAATATGCGAGTTTTGCAAATAATAACATTTTAATTTTTAAAAGTCATCAAGTAATAAACTAAATACTTTAAATATTATAAGAAAAAAAACAGAGGATTAGTAACTCCTTTATGATTAATATATACTTGGGTTATTAAAATGTGCAATTAACACTTGTGTTGTTTAAACAACTTTAATGTACACTTAGTACATATTTTTAATGTTTATAAGAAATTCTATTTCTATTAGAATAAGATATAATATAAGCCTTATAGGTTTAAAGGATAGATAATTCCAGTGAAAAAATAAAATTTGATTATTGAATATAATAACAGTTGCACTAAAATTTAAAAATATTCAGATTAAAACGAAGCATTAAATTGTTGAATATGAGAAATATATTTTGCATACAGGCTAGCTTACTTGGAGTGTATATGCCTTTAAAAACCATTCATTAAAGTCAAGTGATAAATTCAATCTGAGAACCTGTCAAGTGATAAATTACAAACCAAACAACTAAATTTTTTGGAATCAAGCTTAAGTTAATTAAAAGTAAAGTTTTTTTAAACAATGTTTTGCTTAAATTAATTATTTAACTAATTTTTTTACATTCTTTTACATTGTATTAAATCAACAAGTTTTCCTTCTGTAGCTGTAGAATATTTTGATTATTTATATGTTTCAATAGAAATGTTTGTTTTATAAAAACTCAAACTTTATTTGTTTGTATTTTATTTGAATTTATTATATTTGTAAATAATGAGCATATTCAATGAATTTGTTTAAAATTTTGTCACAGCAGTGAGCAATTTAAAAAAAAATTAACTACTTCATTAAAATACTGCCTAAAAATATCTATAGAGTTATTCAAATATTACCAAACAAAAATTTTGTTAAGCATAACGTAATTAGCGTAGTGTAATGTAAAAATGCTCTGCATGTACATAAAAAGCTCTATATCTGATGTTTTATCACAAAACCTGGATGCATATATATATATATATATATATATATATATATATATATATATATATATATATATATATATATATATATATATATATATATATATATATATATATATATATATATATATATATATATATATATATATATATATATATATATATATATATATATATATATATATAATTATTATTATTATTTCTGTTTTCTTTGTAAATAATATATAATATGCTGCAATATTTTTCTCATGTTCAATGTAGAATTATTTTGAAAAAAATTTTTATTTTTTGGAATATTTCATTATATAAAGTGTTTTAAAACATATAATTTTGTTGTTTATGTTCTTCATAAATATTTTAAACACTCAATGCAAAAACATTATGTTAATAGTATAGGACATAAAATTATCATTATATTAATAGTATACTACATAAAATTATTATATTATAGTATAATAAGGAACATGTCAATGCTCATTCGAGCGTGTTTAACAGGGTACTCAAGTCATTTTGTTTTGCATTTTGAATAACAAAAATTAAAAAAAAGCAACCTGATGATTTGAACTTACCATGCAACATATAATGCCTTAACCTTTTTAAAAAACAATTTTTAATAATAGTTAATAGCTAATAATTTTAATAATAGTTAAAAAAATAATAGTTAATACCTTATTAACAGAGTTGTTAACAAGGCCAGAAATAGCATGGCCAAGACCACATGTTTCAAGGCCAAGGCCAAGACTAAGCCCAAAAGCTCCAAGGTCAAGGACAAGGCCAAGAGTTTCAACACCAAGGCCAAGGCCAGCACAAACATTTTCAAGGCCAAAGAACTAAATTTTTGGCCTTAAGTCAAGGCCAAAAATTTAGTTACTAAATTTTTGGCCTTAAGTCAACTATTAACAAAACTACAGGAACCAAGTGCAGTAACAAAAAAACTACATGTTGTGGAAATAGACCAAGGCTATGTGCAGAAATTGACAAAGTCAATAAAAAGATATATATGGAGATGTATATGAAAGACAAAAACAAAAAAATATAAAAATTAAGTACTAACACTTTAAACTTTAATTTTAAATACTTTTAATAT